TTTTTGTAATACAAACAAAAGAGTATCCAAACTTGAATTTAAACAATACACAAATACGAAACTTGAATTTAATATAAATATGATTTGTAAAACTTAAATAAAATTTTAGAATTTGATGGTTGACAGATCATTTTCACCACTTCATCTCATTTAAAAACTTTATTTTGAATTTCAAATCAAATAAAACAAATTAATACACAGATATGAGAAGGTGACCGTGACACATTACTTAAGAAATCAATGCACAAAATTCTTCTTCTCTTCGTCTACCGGCCTTGGATTCATTAACTTCAACATCTTTAGAAAATTGCTCCACCTTCATCTTTAATCAACATTAACTAAATTGACCAAACGAACAATAGTGTATATATATGTACGGAAGAAGTGTATAAGCAGAGGTAGATGAGAAATTCCGACAAGTTTTCGGTAGATCCCATGGTACTTGCACAATCTCTCCTTCATTCTTTAGATAGATACAAATACAATTGTGGATGTATTAATATTATACAATTGTCCAACCATCTCAAGAGATTCAATATGCATTACACGCTTGATACTTGATTGATTTAACTATTCGTAAGACCAATAGAATATATTACGTAAAGATCATCTATGGTCTCACAAGTCACAATACATGCATTCAAACTTTGGGGTGGACAACAATAGTTCCAGACCTAAATTATGACATTTAGGCAAAGTGAAATACACGGGAAACCTGAAGTGTAAGTAAATAAAACATTAATAATTCTAGAATCATTAATCTATATCTCTGTCCACATAAAATATTTTAACAACCATATTTTCCATTAAACGACTGCAAACACTGATAAAGTATATGTAGCACTCCAATATATAAAGTACGCAGCTGTTATTTGCTAATTAAATGATTGATTTCGAGCAATTGTGTACTTTTGAAGTCTTCTTTACACGAGTCTCAACAATAAGTACTACCAATTCAAAACTTCCATAACTAAAATAAGTTGTATAAACCTACCATAACTCTCTGTCGATGAAATGCCTACAACACTACCAACAATGACAAGGAAAGAAAGATCTAGATGGTAATGAAAGCAAAAAACAATGTTGGGGAAGGACACTATTTTTTTTTTTTGGTAAAAGGGAAGGACACTATTTGAATCATGTTTGGAAAATAAGATGGTACTCCCAGTACTCTTTAAATCTTAATCAATAACAAATTTTGTCGGTGATTTTTCTGGTAGTTTACGGTGGTTATTAGAGCTCCTTCCGATGGCAAATCGATTCGACAACAAACCTTGTCGGCGAAGGCAAAACAAAAAAATAATCTTCGTCTCTCCACGTTTTCAAAGCAAACAACGAAGACACTTTCTTTAAAGAGGTAAACGGCGAGCACCGGCGGTTGGGGTAGGAGTAGCGGCTGAAGGAGTGGAGGAAGAGTGGTGCTGAGAGTGACGAGGAGATGAAGGATGGTGGATCTTGATGTTAGGGAGATGTAGATAATCAGATTATGGATTCATGATCTCTTTTTCTTCTTCTTCTCTGCTTGATACAACAGATTTATAGAAACTTTTATTTTTTTTCCGATCGAGAGGAAGATGATGACGAAGAAGAAGAGACAGCCGTGTTTTGTCAATTTTAATTAGTCTCTCCATGTTTTCAACACTACTTTATCAAGTGGGCTTTTACTTTTGGGCTTTGTTATTTTATTTTTTTCGTCATACTTTTGGGCTTTGTTACTTTTTTTTTGTTTTTGTGTGTTTTTAATAATATGAAACAACAGAAAAAAGGGAGATAAAGAGTGACGTGGCAGAATAGAAGATTATTATTGGCAAATAAAGTTGAGCTGTATTATTTAAAATGTTTTGATTAGAGTTTCTTTTTAATGATGTGTCATAACCAGGAAAGCTGAAAATGCTGATGTGTTAGATTAGGAGAGAATCCAATTGTTATTATTGTATTAATCCTATTGTTATTTTGAAATTTTTTTATTTAATATAACTAAATAAAATTTTATAATTTAATGTTTTATTTGTATTTAAATTGTAATTATTTTTACTTCTAGGGATTAGTTTTTATTTATGTAATTAGACTTTGTAATTATAATTATAGTCTCTATTGCCAATATTAATATCTAATGAAAAGATGATGTTTCAAAAGTAAAATTCTAGTATATTTTTCTGTTAATAATTTATTTTCGTAGCAAAGGTTATTTTTTGAATTTTTTCTTTAGTGATTTGCTATAATTAAATAAAATTTTTGAACTTAATGGTTTACCTTTATACCACTCGGAACCAACTAAATAACTTTATTTTTATAAAACTATCTTTATTTTCAATGCCAGTTTTCAAAAATGTCACATTTTTAAACCTTATAAAAAATGCTCCAAACAATATGAAATTTACCCAAATACATATGTAACATTATTAAAACATATACAAACTATCTTTATATGTATCTAAAATCTTATAAATACCGTATAAAACCTTTAAAAACCTTTAAAGAATATAAATTAATTTATATAATTTAAATCTTATTAATTATTTTATATCTTTTGCAACTTTAAAGAATTAATAATTAGAATTTTCAAAAATCGTATTAGCTAGAGACACTGAATTAATTACCATGTTCATTTTGTTTCGTACTTATATTTTGATTAGATATCAATTCTAATGATGTGTTACTCTGAGAATAGCCTAAAAAGCTAATGTATAAACACCATCAATTTTTTTTTAATATTATCCTTTTTATAATAAAAATTTTATATTATCACATATTTTACATATTATCTTTACAAAAATATATAAACTATTTAATTATATATATGATATATTTATTTTTATTATATATATGATATATTTATTTTTATTATATATATGCAGTCCGCGGGGCAATCCGCCAATCTCCGGCATAACCTGCTAAACCCCGTAATCCGAGTGGGATTGCCCGCAAAATCTACTTTTTAACGGATTTAATATTTTGTGTTCATACCTGGACCGGACTGGGCTAAGCCCACGATTTTAGGGCCATTTTGATATTTCTATGAGAGATGATGATGTGGAAAAAAGAAAGGTTCTTATTGGATATTAAAAATGAGTTGTATTATTTAGAATGTTTTCATTGGTTATTCATTTTAAATGAGGTGTCAACTCCACAAAGCTTAAAAAAGCTGAGGTGTCAACCTCTGGAGAGTTTCAAGGGTTTTTATTGTATTGATATATTTTGTGATCAAGAAAATCAAATATTGATTGAAAAAAAAAATTTAGTATCCAATCGAATTTACAAGAAGGTTAATGCAAGTATGTAACATCATGCTTTGGAAAGTAACAGTATCTGATTCATGTATTTAACAATATAAAAATCAAACATACTTGTATTACATTAAATTCGAAGTTTGACCGAGTCAAATCAGAAAGCTGCATGGATTCACATCTCCCAAACCAAAACACATGTTTTATACTCTTTTGTCTTTAGATTTTTGTGGCTTCGCTTGTTTTGTTTTTTCTTCCCAACTCCATCTTTAAGAGGTTTGAAATGGGATGTAGCAAATAACGCATTATGGTTCAATGTTGAATAAGAAGTGTGATTGTTGATGGCTCTATCCGGATTGTGTGCAACAATCAACGCTATCAAATTATATCATTATTATAAAAGCTACTACTAGTATTTAACTTTTGGCCGGTGCCATCCTTGAATGCTATGAAGTGAACTCTCTAAAATTTGGCATCATTTATATATGCAACATGTGTACATACGAATGCGAGAATTTGTGAAAGACATTGGTTGTAATTTTAAACGTTATTAAGTGATTTATTCGGTAGAAAAGATTATTGATAAATGTTTTCAAACGCATGCAACTATAATAGTCCACGAAACATAAACTTAGCAAACTATTAAGAAAAACTAATCATTCCCTTAGATTACTTTCCATTAGTACTAACTAAATACTAACCTCTGACCTTACTGTATATAACCTGAAATTGAACATAACATCTTGAGATGTTAAGGGAAAGTTTTTTTTTTAAAATATGGGACCTACACAACCTCAATAGGCAACCACCAAGTGACCAAAACACTGAAAATTTTCGAAACTTGAAAGTCAAATAAATTACTAAAAGTATGTGCTTACTTCAAGTAAACACCAATCGAATCAAGTTCTGATTTTAGGTAATAAGAATACACATTCACATAACTCTTGATTGGAAGGAGTCAATAACATTTTTACTATTAAAAAGAATGAAATTTGTACTATAAGAGTGGTAGGACCGACTATATATAAAGTTTAAAACATATCAGATAAAAAAGCAGAACTCATGTAGTAAATTAGAGGACATACACAATCTACATATCCCACCAAATACAGTACACGATAATAATAGATCGATGAAGGAAAAAAAAAAGTGGTTCCGTATTTCAAAGTCTGTGCATTGCCCACTGCTTCACGCCTACGCAACCCTTTGGCTTCTTTTTTTTCTTTCCAGATCTTCTTTTCCTCTTTCTTTTTTGCTTTTTACATGTTTCCAAGTCATTATGCATCTTTGTTTTTCAAAAAATATTACGTATCTACGCATTTGATTTGATCCCAATAATCGAAGTACAACACTAGTAGTTCATTGAACTGTAACCACTACTTTTTTTCAAATTTTCAACGAGTACACGTCAGAAGCCGTAACTTTGCTCAATCACAACTCATAGGTACGTATATCGAAGAAGTACTTTGCTCTTTAACAATGAGAATTAACTAAAAAGATAATACTTGTTATTAATAAACGAACAAAATAAATCCGATGTTTTTATTACAACCCCATAAGATATTATCAAAAATAGCAGAAAACACTATTTAAGTAACACAAATAACAAATCCCACCCAACACATTTTCAATTTCCCTGTCGACTAAAAATGGAAAAAAATACCCAACCCCACTCCCTTAAACCCTCCCAAGGTCAACAAAAAAATTACAGAGAGCTTTGTCTTAGTGACTAAAAAAAAAACTTACTATAATGTTACACACTTATAATAAATAAATATTACCCTACTTTTATTCTGATTAATATCATATCCTTATTACTAATCATAACATTATAACCTAAACCCAAAACCACTTCTAACACTAAAACGCTCCTTCTGATTTTCAAACTTCTGAGACAAAAACAACAGTTGAAAACTCCTATCATTATCATCAATACATCCAATCCTGTGGAAGACGTCGTTCTTGATTCATACAACCACCACCACTAACTGATCTGAAATTTCCCTGACGAGCTAGTACTGAACTTCTCGCGAGCATGCACTCTGTTCTTATCATAAAAACACAATTAGTTACCTTAATTAATGTTTTATTTTTTCTTGACAATTGAGGGTTTAGTACTTAAGATAATTACCGTAATCGAACTGGCTACGCCTTGTCCCAACAACATTGGTGAACTCATCATAGTTGAGATGTTGCGGATTCACTTTAGATTGCAACATAGCTGGAGTGTTGACTGTTACACCGATGCATAAGAGAAAAGTTAAAATCTTTCTGACACATAAAGACAACTCAGAAACACAATCTTGAAGTAACCTACCTGGTTTTTTCAGGGAATCGGAAGGAGTGGTCGTTGGGTATCGCCGGGGAAGGAAAACTCCGGTTCCAGCAGACGGACGTTTTAGGGGAGCTACGGCTTGCTGAGTCGGCAGCCATGTATGACTGTTGTGTCTCACGAATCTCGGATTCTCAAACAGAGCTTCGTCGTTCACAACTCTCCTCAGGTATTGATTTTCTGAAAGCTTGATTCTTGACTGTGAAGAACAGAGCCACATCTGTTCTATGAGACGCTGCTGCTGAAGTTCAGCGTGAAACGCAGCGTTTTGACGGCGGAGAAGAGACTCAGGGGTTTGAAGAGGAAGATGATGAGGCTCGTAGCTTCTGAGTTTGAGTCTAGCTACTTCTCCAGCAGCTGCAGATATCACATCCCAAGCATTGTCTCTACGGAAAGAGGTCGTAGGAGCCGGTGGGGATGGTAAGATAGGGCTTCTACTTCCTGAGTTTGAAAAGCTTCCGAGTCCACTCAGTGTTGACTGTGGTGAAGTAGCTGCGACTTGACGTTTCTCCTACAGATCATTAAACAGTCGGTTAAGAGATTGTGAAGAGTTTCGAGAGAGAGAAAGAAGAAAGCTTTTGGGGCGTTTCTTACCTCAGTCTTGTAGAGAGGAGGAGGAGGGAGACGCTGAGTCGAGGGAGCGAGTCGGCGAGTTAACCCAGCGAGGAAGTCTTCCTCGTCGTCACTGCTCTCGTCTTCCGTCTCAGTGGAGTCACCGGGAGAAGTGAAACCAGGGGAGAAGGAAGGAGAGTCGAACTCGTAAGGAAACTCGTTAGGGAAACCGAGTCGAGTTGGGGTTAACTCGGAAGAAGGAGTTTTCTCCATGATAGGAAGGTTGACGGAGAGGTAAGCAGGAGGAGGAAGGAGGCGAGACATAGAAGAAGATGAAGCAGAGGGAGAGAGTTGTTTTGTAGTGTGAACTAAAGATTAAGTGAGGAGGAAGATGGAGAATGTTGAAGACATGGTTGCTTTTATTAAGGTTTCATGGTTTCTATGAGACAGCTCAAAAGCACTTTAATATCACTTCTGCTTTTTTTTTTCTTTTTTTTCTTAATATAATTATCCGTAATTAATGCGTGATGGACGAAAATCAAAACTATTTTCCTTTGGTCTTTTCTTAACTATTTTGCCTTGGAAACCAAAAGAAAAAAACAGTACTAGTATTTACATTTTTTTAAAAACCATCTCATGTTTTTGGTGTGTTATCATTTGGATTCAACTCTTCACATGTTTCTTAAGATATGGATGTAACTCACTAAAGAAAGGGTTAAATATCACTACTAAATGTATTTTTAATTGAGACGCTTAATATCCTCAGAATGTTTTTATTTTGAATAGTACATCAAACTCATATTGCAAATATGTATCTCATTCTTTTCTTTGGCACCCTTTTCTTTTTTTTATATAAGATAAGATAGATATTAATGTGGAAATGTGTAAGGGCATGAGAAATACAGGTGGAACCCACTAAATCCCAGACAAGTTGTCATTAACAGCTCCAAACCTCCAATGTCTTATAATGTTTTAATTAAAACCCTAAATAAAAATCTCATCTTTACTCTTTAGTAGAATCATACTACACTAAAATATTATTAATCTGTGGGCTAATCAAAAGCATCGAACACTTGATTATTACGCCTTCCCTCTCTTTTCCTCATGCAAATCCTTCTCATCATTTTTTGCTGCCCTCTCATATTTTTCTCCCTTTCCCACCACAATCAATACATTTACTGCTAAATAATTACACTCCATTTAGTATTCATGAGAGGAATTATAAGTAAGAATCACGTTAATTAATGGCACTAATTACAACTGATTTTATAATAATAATATACGCAAAGGTTAAGAAAGTTAAAAGGTCACACTGTGGGTTCAAAGATTAAACCAACGAATCGGCGACTGTTCGGTTTTTTCTGGTAACCCCATTCAAGACCCCTATTTTGTAGGGTTTTTAAAATTTTAATTAAAAAAAAAAAAGAGTTCATAGAAATCTCGTGACCACTCAGGGAATTTGAATAAAGCTGACGTGGCAATTTAGCAGGATTCGGCAGATTTATTCAGTCATCCGTCCCTCTCCCTCCTCTCCGTCTGACGTAACGGATTTCAACAGTTCCGTCTCCTTCTCCGTCAGATTTAACGAATTGTCATTGGTCAGAAGAACCAGCCGTGATAACAGCTGTTAACGACGGAACCGAAACCGGTTTATAAACTGAATTGGATAATAGATAATTTTCCCGCCTTTTGATATTTTAGGGCAAGAAAAAAAAAAGAAGGTGGGGTCGAGGTTTAACCTGCTGAAAAAGACAGCACCGTTAAGTCAAAAGAGCGGGAACAGATCTTCTTCTCTTCTTCTTTTTTTCTTTTTGGAGTAATATTTTTATCGAAGAAGCAAAGAAAATATAACCAAAAACCATATTCGTCTAAAAACTCAAAAGTTTAATGTTTTAAATAATGTAATGTCTAGTTACGCCAAAAATTGTGCCCCTAGTTGGCTTCTCTTGTCTCCCGGAGTCTACTCTATATTGTCGATAAACCTATACTATTGTCTATTGTATACCAGATATTAAGAGCACCCACAATACTATATATTATTAACTTCGTTAATGCTTTATAATCTGTTAAAACCCCAATGAGAAAGCTGGTTTTGTAAAATGCTTTATTGTGTGAGGTGGAATCCAAATTTTCCCCGTAATTTACGACGAGATTTATCAGACTTGGCATATAAAGAACAAGCAATTATGGGCAATGAGAGTTTATGGATATTAGACTTAAACAATTAAAGAAATATTATGGGCAAAGAGAATTTAGGGAAGTGATAGACACGCGCGATGAAGAGAGAGAGTGGGGAGGGGAGGCAAGTGAAGGTGGGTTTAGGGTTGTGTCTGCCAGCAAATGCTTTTACAGAAGCTGTCTTTCTCTCTGCCTTCATTCCACAAAACATTTGAAACCAAAAAAAATATTCATTTTCCTCGTCAAATTAATGAATTAATGAATTAATAACGAATGGGTTGGTTGGGGATATTTACCCTATCCGAATTTTAAACTGAGTGATATGTTGTAGGATGCGATAAAAAAAGAAGAAGATATAAGTGGAGTGGACTAACACGAAAAGAAAAAGAAAGAAAAAAAACAAGAAAATCTGCAAATGTCATTTCGAATTTCCCGCCGAAAGCTCATAAGGAAGGATGGATAAATAGTGACAGGGAGATATCAACCGTCTATTTCAAATGTGAAGTCTACTTCCTGCTTATTTGTAGGCTAATAAGGGACCCTATGTAACATAAGTAAGTCTACTTCCTTATTAGATATTACGTGTTGTTTTTACATATAAGCCAGTTCCTAATAATAATAAAACAAAAAGAAAAAAGCAACAAGAAGAAATTAATGATTTTTGTTGTTATTTTGTTATTGTTGTGTAATTTACAAGAGAAAGTAGAATTTAGTATGAAACTAGTTATTCATATGAATTTATCACATTTAGTGATATTTTTGGCGAAGTGATTTTTATTTTTCGTAAGATAGGTTACTTGCCATATAGATTTTGAATATATAGTTAGATTATAAGCCAGCAGATTCAAAATAAATAGTAAGATTATAAACCAGCAAAAAAAAACAATTTGAATGAGTTTGGGAGGGAGACAAATTAATTGTATTGTAATAGGTAGTTGCATAGGATGAGAATCTTAACTGACCAAATTTAATCATAAGCTTCGTCCTCTTTTACGTGGATTTAGCTGTTCCAACGTTCATCAGCATTTGGATCTCGTGAACCTCAAGTTACCAACTTCTTTTCACATTGCTTTTTTTAAATATTTCTTTTTAATTGTTTTTTTCTACGAAAATGAGACATTCGTTTTATGCAGATATGATACCATTTGTGTATACTTAGACTGAAAGGTATGAAAAGATTAATCTCTCATGATATCAATATATACATTTGTTTTTTATCAAAAAAATATATATACATTTGTGTCTACTTCTTTTAAAAAGTAAGAAAAGCTACATGAAATATATGATATCAGCAATCGCCTTTGGCATAATCTTAAATTGTGAATTGAATATGAATCTACGATCCAGTTTCCACTAGATCTAATGACGACGACCGACGAACTAAAAGCAACTTTAATCTTTTCAAATAATACAACAAACTAAAAAGAAAGCTAAATGATCGCTATAATATATAGATGAGAGATTATCACAAAACTATTGAAATATATTTATAAACGACTCGAGGTTTATTACCTAACAAGTGCAGTCCCAATTTTTGTTTCCACAGAACGACTGGATACATTTATATGAAAATTATAACCATTTAGTCATGTTAAACAGTATTCAATGAGGAATAAAATAAGAAAAATGATAAACATATATTCTTTGAGTTTAGAAACTCTCAAAGCAAAGAGGATGGCCCAAAAAATATCTCCCGCCACATGCAAAAGGAATGATTCTTTCTCGTTCACTCGGTTTTGAAATGCTATAGCACGTGCGACGCCAACTGTTTATCACATATCATGTGTGTGTGTGGTGTAACACACGAGTGCGGCACATGCGACATAGACATTTTGTGCTTAGCAGCAATACCACTATAGTTGAACCGTCAATGGTCAAAGCCTTGGAAACATGAATCTTCGGAATAGTCTCTTTGTTTTCATTTAGCTCCTCTTCTTGTGTTTTCATGTTTGGCATTTTTACGGTTCAAATCAGTTATGAAAAGGTTAGTCATAGTCGACTAAAATCCGTCTCACTAAGTTTGCCACAGAAAGGCTTAATCCTCGATAGTCTTTAAAACCAGATATAAATAAGTTTGATTGAAGGTAAACATCAAAGTCGTTGTAGTATAGTGGTAAGTATTCCCGCCTGTCACGCGGGTGACCCGGGTTCGATCCCCGGCAACGGCGTTTTTTATCTTTTGCCTCTATTTTATTAATCCAAGGCCCAAAATATGGAATTGGGCCGTCTCTTAGTTTATCCTTATCAAAACTAAAAACGTTTTGCCGCTATAGTCCTTCGCATGATCGCATCAGTCATCAGTCATCACTCATCACTCATCACTCATCACTCATCACTCATCACTTTGTTTTCTCTCTAATATCTATCGTCAAACTAAAATTACTGCATGTTCCTTCGTTTTTAGTTATCATAAATCAAACAGTTCTACTCACTCATCTATTAATGTTTTCAATTGATTACGAATTTAACAAATTCAAGTTTTTTCGTTTTGGTAATGCATGAAGAAAAATGTAAACAAAAACAAAAAACACTTTGTTGCTGATACTAACAAACGAAATGTTTGATTAGTGATTACTACGATATAATATAATTACATACGATATGATATTGGATTACATATGAAAGTTTAAATACAAAGACTTTTGGACATAGACGTAGATTTCATTATAAAGAGACTTGTCTAACTTGTTGCCTTTGTCGAAACATAAAGAACCAACACGTCAAGCCCTTTTATATAGACGTTGATTTCATCTTATACAGTAAGATATACTACTATTACTATACACTCTCTTTTTTGTTACTTCACTTTCTTAAGTCGTTTTTTAAGACATGTGTATATATATACGTTCACACTTTTTTTTGGTTTACATTTATAGGTAGATTTCTATACGCCAACTTCCATATTCACTTGATTATATATTAAGGTTCCTGCAAAAGGATCACAAAAACTGTATCAATGATTCGAAAAACTTGTGAGGCAACGTTTTCAGTTTCCATTTCTTAGTTATTATTCTGGTTAATAAAGTATAACCTTAAATAAAAAATCTGCAAATTATACAATTATGTGATAATCCAGAAACATTACTTTCAGTTTTAATGTTTTATGAATCTATGGTGTATATATATGCATGTACCTTAGCAGTTTAGCAGTTACTGTGCATCATCGGCTAGGGATTGTTAATTAGTAG